AGGGGGGAGGGTTACAGGTCTGGGGTGGGGTTTGCAGGTACCACAGGTCAGGGTGACAGGCACCAGGGGAGGGTCACAAGGATCAGGGGTGAGGGTCACAGGGGGCGGGGGAGGCAGTGACAGGAAGTGGGGGTGACAGGAACAGGGGTTGAGGGTCGCAGGTAGCAGGGATGAGGGTGACAGGCACCGGAGGAGGGCAACAGCTACTGGGGGAGTAACAGGAACGGGGAGGGGGGTCATAAGTATCGGGTCTGAAGGTGACAGGTACTACGGAGGGTTAAAGGCGTGTGTGTGGGGGGGTTTGGTGTCACAGTGAATGGTACCAGCTGAGGGTCACAGGTACTTGGGGGAGGTCACACAGGTACTGGGGGAGGATCGAAGGCACCAAAGGGAGGGGGTCAGAAGTGCCGGGGGAGTCCCGGGGGGCCCCGGCCTTGGGCCCAGTGTGTTTTGCAGTCAGTCAAGCGGGTCCCACTCCCGCTCTGACGACAGGACGCGGGGCCGCCGCACTCACCTCTCCGGGACCGGGACCGGCTCTCTGCGGCCGGGGCTGCGCGGCGCAGGGGTTTGTGGGAGCCGCAGTCCGCCCCCCGCGCTCGCGGCCCGGAGCAAGATGGCAGCGAATGTTTGCATCCCGTTGCCTAGCAACGCCCCCCCCACTGGATTTTTATCCCCAGACACGCCTTCATACGCAGCGCCTCGGGCTGCCTGCTACCAACTCGGTCACTCGAACCGCGCGGGGTTTGCGCCGCGGCAGGACTACAAGTCCCGGGCCCCCCTGCCCCTTCCCCCCCCCCCTTCCCCCCCCCCCTTCCCCCCCCCCCTTCCCCCCCCCCCTTCCCCCCCCCCCTTCCCCCCCCCCCTTCCCCCCCCCCCTTCCCCCCCCCCCTTCCCCCCCCCCCTTCCCCCCCCCCCTTCCCCCCCCCCCTTCCCCCCCCCCCTTCCCCCCCCCCCTTCCCCCCCCCCCTTCCCCCCCCCCCTTCCCCCCCCCCCTTCCCCCCCCCCCTTCCCCCCCCCCCTTCCCCCCCCCCCTTCCCCCCCCCCCTTCCCCCCCCCCCTTCCCCCCCCCCCTTCCCCCCCCCCCTTCCCCCCCCCCCTTCCCCCCCCCCCTTCCCCCCCCCCCTTCCCCCCCCCCCTTCCCCCCCCCCCTTCCCCCCCCCCCCCCCGGCCGGCGGACCCGCCTCACCTTGGGTTTGTAGAGCCACTTGCGGAACCTGTTCATCATCCCCGCGGCCGCGGCCGCGGGGATGATGAACAGGTTCCGCAAGTGGCTCTACAAACCCAAGGTGAGGCGGGTCCGCCGGCCGGTGCCCCGCGCCCGGGGCGGGATGACAAAGCGGCGCTTCCCTCCCGGCCTCCGTCGGCACCGGGCCGGCTGCCTGGGGCGCCCGTGGACAGACGCCGCCCGTGCGGGAGCGTGGAGCGGGGCAGGCAGCTCCCTCGGCTCGCAGCCGCCTGCCCCTCTCCCACCTTGTCCTTCGCGGCGGAGAAACGGGAAAACTAGAAAAGGAGAAAGTGTTGTCAAGCGAGGAGCGTGAGCAGCGCCGTCCTGGGCCCCCTCCCAGCTGGATTGCAAGCGGGGGTGGTTTTTTGCGTTTTGTGTCCCCCCTCCAGGTGCTGGCTTGTAATCAGATGCCCCTTTTTAAGGCTGTCCTCTGTGCCCGTGTCTTCTCACACGTGGGGGAGAAGCTGCGGTACAAATACGAAAAGGGGGACAGGGTTGTCTGGCTGGCAGCGCTGCTCTTCGCTCGCCTTTTGCAGCTGACGGGGTTTAAAGTCAAGGGGGGATTTGTCCGGTGTTGTTTGTAGTCACCTGCTCCTTGCTAAGCTTGTTATTTGCCTGCTACTTGCACTCGGGAACGGGGAGGGGGGAATGTGAAAAAATAAAATATCGTAAAGTGACAAACGTAGCAAGAGGTGTCAGCAGACTTGTTCAACTCCGCACCTAACTCCCCCTTTGCAGCTGACTAGATTTAAAGTTGAGGGTGAAGTTCTCATGCAAAGAAACATTTCAATATGGTGCCACTAAATTGCTTCTAATGCCCAGAGGCAAAACTGAAGAGGCGGGGAATCATAGTCAGTTGTTGATAAAAGCTCTTTGCTTGCAGGCGTTTGTTTGTCCCTTTAAGTTTATCTTTGCCTAGATCTAGAGGGGGGGGATGGTAACAAAAAAGCAACACCCCCAAATATTGTAAGGTGACAAATGTTGCAAGAGATGTCATTAGCCGACTGTTCAACACACTCTTAACTCCCCTTTTGCAGCTGACTAGAGTTGAAGTTGTGGGTGAAGTTCTTATTGAAAAGAAACATTTTGATATGATGCAATTTGACTTATTGACTGATAGATTGATTCCACAGTGTATTTCAAAATGTAAAGAATGCAACAAACAGCATATGTTTGATTATTACTGTTGAGCCACTTCATTTTAGAAGGGAATTCTCAAAGCTGTGGCAAAAGAACCTTGTAAATTTAGTGTTAACAATTTGAACTGAAGAGGTCCTATTGTTTTAAAGAAGATTACATTAACTTTTAAAAAAGAGCATGACATCAGTTTAAGAAAAGGTACCTAAAATGTAACTCATGTTGTCTATGTATGCTTTGATTGGAAAAATAAAAATAGTTGCTTTTAAATTATTTTTGTTCTCTACTTGTGTATTAGACTCAGAATGCATGATTGATTGCTCACTGTAATTAGTAACAGTATGGGTTCCTTGAGGAAAAACAAAAAAACCCAAACAACAAAAACAATACTCTAGTGGTGAGTATTTGTTAAAAGTACTTTATCTATTTGTAGATTTTTTTTCAAATAACATAATGGAACTAAATACACAAAGACCAACACAACCTGAAGTACATACAGAAATTAAGAACGAGGAACTGAGATCTGTGAATACTACTGTGTAACTTGCTTGCTTATGCTAGCTACTTCCCCTTCCATCAGGTGGTCCTTAGTGGGAACTGTTAGTTAACTAGGTGAGCCTTATGGCCCACAATCTCTGGAAGATACAAATAGACAGGTGGCCCTTAGAGCTTTAGGGATCTCCACAAAAGTTTAGTTCCTCCTACAGTGAGGTTTTTTTTTTTTGTTTTTTAAATATAATTTAGGCCCCATTTCATGGCTTTCTGGGTGCAGGTGACATGGGACAGTGTTAGAACCAATCTGTTTCTTTTGTGTGTTACTTGTGGGGGCTATTCTTAATCTTCTCCAACCTGCTTCCATTGGAGATGAAGCATGATCGCTGTACGATAATATAGGTACTAACTCTGTAAAACTAGGATTTCCCCTTGTAATACATTCTGCTGACTATAGAGGTTTGTCTTATTCTATTAGCTGCCTTTTAGAGAAAGTTAACCTTCCTCCCTCTCATGGTGGTTTCTGAATGAATATGATTTAACATAAAAATGTGTCCATCTCATGAAACCAAGATGGGATTTAATTTAATTTAGAACAGTCTCTGAAAAGGATTTGGATAATTTTAAATACTGTATATCAAGACAGAGATGTCTAGATTAATTATAATGAGAAATTTTGTGCAGAACCTATCTTTACTGTACTATCTTTAGCTAGAGTTCTCTCTTCCTTCAAGTTTCATTTTATTGACTTAAAACACTTTTAAAGATACACAGAAAAAAACAACTGCATACAAATGAATTAAAAATAAATTTATACTTATTTTAGTTAACATACCTGCCTATCTACAAAGATATGAAGTTGGCAACTCTAGATCAAGCAGTGCTTAAGGAACTGAACAGAGATTGTATTTGAACTGACGTACTTTCACTAACTTTTGGAGTGGCTTCAGTTCAAAGTATCATTTACGTGCTTATCAGAAGGCATTTGTTATATATTAAAAATGGCATGATATTAGTGGATGTTATCCATTAAAATTGCCGAGACCAAATTCATCCTTCCATTTCAGTGGATATAGGGGAACAAATAGGATGAAATTGGAAGTATAGACAGGAGGAGCTGCCTGCCTTTTCCTGTTCTAACATGAACCTTGAAATCCAGAAATAAGCATATGAGCACTAACAGAGCAAGATACCTGCTTCTTTATGGTATCTTTCTTTACCACTCAATTCTGTAGGTAATTCTTTAGCTAAGTTTAATGCTGAGAAGCTTAGAAACTGAGTCGTCATCTCTGGAGGTCTGCATTTTTCTGGGGCCTGAACTCCTTGATAGTTTCAAGGTCCAGACATTCTCTTAGCTGAATAATGGTGTTGAAGTTCCTAGTTTGTGCCACTGTATGAGACAGAGGCGAAGATGTGACCCCTGTACTGCAGAGTTAGCTATCTGAATGCAAGTTGATTGTAAATTAGAGCATGCAATTCTAACTAAAGTTGTGGGGTTTTTTTCTTCTTCTGATTTGTGGGTAGCTGTATATTAAGATGATATTTTTAGTGAAGGCTGAAAAGCTAGTAAAAAAAGTGAAATCTGAGATCCTTGCAAAACTGCATTATTCTAAGTACTATGGCTTTAAGAAAACCACTATATATCCTTACCCTGAAAAGGTTAGTCAGACTTCATTGTGGTTTAGAAGCAGAAATCTAGGTGAGGCAGAGGTGATGCTGTTTGTATTACAGTAATGCCTTGAGTCTTCAACTAACAAATGAGGGTTGGGGAGGTGGTTTTAGACGTATAGAAAGAAATGGTTCACTTCCCTTGAAATCTAAGTATGCAAAACAAATAAAGGATGAGAGGGGAAGCAGGTATGTATAGGAGAGTCAAGAATGTAAGAGAGACAGTAGAGTTGTAGTGGTTTTGTAACTCTGATGGTATAAGGAAAATGCAAGAAGGGCCTAAGGAAGGACATTTTGTGCCCCAAATCTTGTCTAACATCTGACATTTCTCCTGGCTGTAAAGCTGATCCAGCAAAATATATCCTCCAAGAAGACAGTGGCAGAGGCAGGATAGGACCCAGACCTCTTAAATCCTTGAGCAGTACCTTTATTTCCTGGTTCACCTTTTTCTCCCCAGTTAATACCAGGTACTAAAGTAGAGGGTGAGAATCCAACTCTGATGCAAATGCTAGAGGAAGCACGTGGAACGATTGAAAAAAATGCAGTGATATGGTATGAATAGCTAGTGAGAGAGATGACTTTTAGCTGCTGTATTCTAACAGACTGGAGAGGAATGAGATGGAGCTCTGTTTCCAGTTCTCTATGACACAACCATCATTGTTTAAATGTTTCCTAGTTGTTAATTTCCTGTAAGTCATATTTTTCCTTTTGGGACTCCAGATTCAATATGGCAAGGCAATTTTTCTTTTTATTCTTTTTCATCTGAAACAAGGGAAAATGCAGACAGAGGGATTTGAAATAACTGTTCTTGAATTGCTGTGTGTTGATGGAACAATGGTTATACTGTTTGCCTTGTACACACTGCAGACTTCTAGCAAGTGCCAACACTTTTTAAACGTGACAGTTTCTTTTGAATTGAAATGTGTGTACACAGATGGGAAATTATTTTCTTATTTTATATCAGTTTAGATCACTTACTTTATACCTGTCTCTGAGCATTCCATCTATGTTAGGTTAGAGGCAGCATTGAGTTGCTTGCAAAAACTTGGGTTATTAACAGGTATTGTGGTTTTAAAATTAGTTTTAAATCACTTTTGATACTGAAAGCATTTGGAAAAATGTTTTGTGTGGCTATAGTTGCTTCTTAAACCTGATGCATGACTTGGAAAAAGTGAAATTGGAATACAGCTGTGCTGGTGTCAAGACTGTAAGTAGGAGTAGATAAGGTAGTTTTTTAAATGTATTAATGATTTTATATTGGTAGTTTTAAAACAGGGCATGAAAGCAATTTTATTCACTAGATAAGCAGTAAGAAATTCTGTTACTGTGAAAATGGAATATTCTGTTTTTGTCATACCATGACAAACCTGCAGCAAGATAAGGCTTGAAAGCTTAGAATGGTTAGTTAGGACAATTTGACAAGAAGTGAGGTAAAATTGTAAAAGGCAATTATATATGGATCCTTGAGTAGCTCCACGTTTTTTGGGGGGGGGGTTAGAGGGTCATACTATCTCTTATCTAGGCTGTAGGATGACTTGCATGTACATAAGAAATCCGAAGTGTGGTATTCTTTGAAGACAAAGGCAGGGTTTTCCTACTACTCAAACTGACTGCCAAAAACTTAGAAAAAGGAAAACTTTTTAAAAAGTATCTTCTTTCATGGTGAATGACTCTTTCTTCTGCAGTAATGGTAGCAATTACATGCAAAGCAGAAAGCAATCTAGGTAAAATTGCAGACTCTAGGAATATTCAGACATTCCAGCC